GGTAGCACCAGGCTGCCGGGTGCAGGCTGGGTGCAGTCTCGCGTTCCAGTCGCATGTACAGCGTATTGAGGTTGGCCCCCAACGTTGGGTACTAGTAGCAAAAGGGCCATGTTACCAGTTTGCAAACTGCGTTACTCAGCACTAACGGGCTTGTTACTGGTGTTACTCCCCCGGTAACGTCTGTAACGTGCTGTAACGTGGTAACTTGGAGGTAACATTTGGTAACATAGTAACTTTCAGGAGTAACTTCAGGAAATGCAGGGTAACGGCAGTGTAACAGCACGGTAACTTTACCTTAGAGCTTTGAGCACGCGGGCCGCGCGCGCGGGGCGGCGCGCACTGCCGCCTTGTTGGGCGCGGCTGCGCACACCTTAGAGTGCAAGCTGCTGCCCCTACAGGCAGGCTAAAATGTTTATTCTGAGCGGCATCAACACATTATTGACCAGTTTTACCGCGCAGGCACGCAGCGCACGGCATTACTCAGGGCGAACAGAGCGAACAGAGCGAGGGCAAAGTGGGTGGAACGTGTGCCCCAGGTTGGCACGGTGTTCTTGATCATTGTATATTTGATATTCGGATATAATCGCAACCTGTTATGCGCGTACAGCGCTGAGAATGCCGCGGGGCGATTGCCCAAATTCGCATTTATCGCATCGCAGGTTGTATACACAAAGCGAAACGAGTTAGCATATCTATCATATCCACATATTTTGGCATGTCAGTGCAATCATGCCAAGCCAGTCCTCGTCTTGACCTCAACAACCGGCCCACACAACGCAGCATGCGCCCACATCAGACGCACATCAAGCACGATCAAATATCAAATCAGGTATTTGGCATGCGTGGCGCCTGCGGCCGCCCTGTGTGCCCTGGGGGGTGCCTTGCTCACATTGCTCAACAACGGCGCGCTGCATTGCTCAATGCACACTTGCTCGCCCATCCTCCTCTCTAAGTCGGTCGGCAGGATGTTGCAAGACCATCACAAGCAGGATCGACCTGCATATGCACACTTCTGTGGTGTGCATGCTTCCATCGCTGCAGCGGCCTGCACATAGTTGTAGTGCACTCGTACGCAAGCAGTTGCGCGAGCGCGGCACTGTTGCTTTGGTGCGGGGGGTGGCGCTGTTGAGCACCACCCACTAGCGCTTTGGTAGCAGCTCAGTGTGTTCTACCATGCAAGGATTGGGTGGTGGGGGTGAAGTGCAAAAGATATTGCAGATTTTGAATGTGGCATTTGAGCCCACCAAGGTACTTGGATTTGAAGTGCTTGAAAGCAACACTGAGAGGCCCTTGCACTGGCGGGCTGCACCACATGTAGCAGGATCCTTGCATGCATGCATGCATGCATGCATGCATGCATGCATAACAAAACAATTATGTACAGTTCAAAGCTGTGCAAAAGGGGCTAGGATACCGCGCACATTTGTCAAGTGGTAACACATTGAAACTTTTTGTTACCTAGGTT